AAAAGTAATTTTAATGGGAACACAGCAATCAATATTTGGCTTTTAATTAGGTTTTAGTGGGGTTATTTTGTGTATTTTTGTATGATTTTTTTTCGTATCCTGTATATTGTATTTGTGTTTTTAATATGCTGTGAACCGCCCTGAGTCCTACGGGAGAAGGGCGGTATACAAATTAAATTAACCATTAACCATTAACCATAGGGATTCAGGGGTGAAGTTTTGTTTGGCTCTCTTAATTCTCAAGATTCTGTGTGCAAAGCAAGAACTTCAGTGTGGGCCTGGCTGAGGAATTCTGGGAATTGAAGTCCACAAGTCCTAAAAGGGCCAAGTTTGAAGACCCCTGGATTAAAAGATCTTTTGAAGAAAGCCAGCTCAGCTCTTGGTACACCCATTCCTCTTTTTTTCCATCTTGATGGAAAAACAACCCATCCTTCCTTTTTTTTTCACTTGAGGAGACCTCGCAATCAAGCTGCAAGACCTTTCAGGGCCCGCTTCTAGGCGGTCAATTTTTCAGAATTTGTCCACAGTTGACCGGAAGCAAAGTTGAACGTGCAGACGGTGCTCTTTGCAATCCTTGAAGACCAAAGACTTTAAAACTGGAGGGGAAAAAAAATTACACTTGTTTGTCCACAACAACGCAGCTTAGCCTCACAGTGGCTCAGGGTGGAAGCAATCCGTATCCTCTCCTGGGAAGGCAGAGAGTTTTAAATCAGGGAAAAGGCCAATTAGTTGAGCAGAAAAGTGCAATAACCTCTTTCTTTTTCAACCACCCCGTGAGCATCTTCAGACGTTTCCTCTGCAGAGGAAGTGTGGTTTAAATAATTTAGATGACTTGCCGGCTGTCAAGGATTGGGGCAAGATACAATCTTCAAACACGACTTTACCTTGTTGTCTTGTCAAAAGAGAGAGAGAGAGAGAGAGAGAGAGGGAGGGAGGGAGGGAGGGAGGGAGGGAGAAAAAGAAGAGGAAGAAGAAGAAGGAAGAAGAAGTAAGAAGGAGAAGAAGGAAGAAGGAGGAGAAGGAGAAGAAGAAGAAGGAAGGAGGAGAAGGAGAAAAGAAGAAGAAGGAAGAAGGAGGAGGAGACGGAGAAGGAGAAGAAGAAAAGAAGAAGAGGAACAACAACAACCTATGTACAGGAAGCCAGGGATCTGGTGTTTTCTATTTTGTACTTTCAAGATGTCCGCTAAAACGTAGATTGAGTTGTGATCCTTGGCTAGCCTGTGGAAGAACTGGGATTCAAGAGTTCACTTGGAGGGAAGGCTCGGTCGATTTCGCCAGCCGTGCTGCGGGAGAGATCCGGGGGGGGGGGGGTAGGGAGATTAAAGAGTTATCAAAAGCGTTTGTGATCGAAAAGGCCAGACGGGAGGCAGAGACAAGAAAGAAGCAGCTCGAAGACAAATCCAGTTGTTAGCCGTCGAAAAGAGAAAATATGGCCGGCCGTTTATCAGCTTGTTCGGGAATAAGTTGTACGGCTTTTGCAGAGTCTGGGATACTGAAAGCTGTTAGCCGGAAAGCCTGGAGACGAAAAAGATGAACCTGAGTTAATGCCGAGGCTAATTAGCTCTTTAATAAGCTATTTCACAGGGTTATTTTGCATTTGGTGATGTTTTTCACCCACTCTCATCCACTTTTTTTTTTCTCTTTTCTGCACAAATTCCTTGTGTGTCTAATTGCACTTGGCCAAATAAACCTAACCTATTCTATTCTATTCTATTCTATTCTATTCGTCTAGTCTAGTCTAATCTAGTCTAGTCTAGTCTAGTCTATTCCATCTTCTCTTCTATATTCTATTCCATCTTCTATTCCATCTTCTCTTCTCTTCTCTTCTATTCTCTTCTATTCTATTCTATTCTATTCTATTCCATCTTCTCTTCTCTTCTATATTCTATTCCATCTTCTATTCCATCTTCTCTTCTCTTCTCTTCTCTTCTCTTCTCTTCTCTTCTCTTCTCTTCTCTTCTATTCTATTCTATTCTATTCTATTCTATTCTATTCTATTCTATTCTATTCCATCTTCTATTCTATTTTCTATTCTATATTCTATTTTCTATTCTGTTCTATTCTATTCTATTCTATTCTATTCTATTCTATTCTATTCTATTCTATTCTATTCTATTCTATTCATTTTCAATTCCATCCTTGTCTTTTCTGTGTTGTGAAAACGCAACCTTTGCTTGGCTATTCGAACTGACCCAGTTCCATCTCTGTCCTCTCGGTATTGTTGGCTTAATGCGCAGCAAGTAACCCGCCCTTCCATGGTCTCCCCAGGTCTGAAGAAGCCAACAAAGCTTTCTCGGCGGCGGTTCAGATGCACGATGTGCTAGTGAAGGCCTGGGCCATGTGGGGGGATTACCTGGAAAACATCTTCGTCAAGGAGCGCCAGCTGCACCTCGGGGTCTCCGCCCTCACCTGCTACCTCCACGCCTGCCGGCACCAGAACGAAAGCAAATCCAGGAAGTATTTAGCCAAGGTGAGTCTTTTCTTTTGAAAAAAAGGAACAGCCCGAGGCACACAGGTGTGGGCTGTTTTCTTTCTTGCGGAGTTCTTCATCATCTCTTCGCTTGGTTTTTTACTTACATACGAAGAGAAGGACGAGGGGGGACATGACAGCAGCGTTCCAATATTTCAGGGGCTGCCCCAAAGAAGAGGGAATCAAGCTATTCTCCAAAGCACCCAAGAGCAGGACAAGAAGCAATGGATGGAAACTAGTCCAGGAGAGAATCAACCTAGAACTAAGGGGAAACTTCCTGACAGTTAGAACAATTAACCAGTGGAACAACCTGCCTCCAGAAGCTGTGAATGCTCCAACACTGGAAGTTTTGAGAAATGGTATAGGGTTTCCTGCCTGAGCAGGGGTTTCTCCTTAGTTCTAGGTTGCTTCTCTCCTTGATGAGTTTCCATCCATTGCTTCTTGTCCTGCCTTCAGGCACTTTGGAGATTAGCTTGACTCCCTCTTTGGGGCAGCCCCTGAGATACTAGAAGACTGCTATCATGTCCCCTCTCGTCCTTCTCTTCTTTAGACTAGACATACCCAATTCCAGCAGCCGTTCCTTATATGCTTTAGCCTCCAGTCCCCTAATCCTCTTTGTTGCTCTTCTCTGGACTCTTTCTAGAGTACAAGACCTCTAAGGTCTCATCCAGCTCTTATGATTCTACGATTCTAGGTCCTTTGGCTCCTGAGTTTCGATGACGACAAGAACACGCTGGCCGATGCCGTGGACAAGTATTGCATTGGCGTCCCGCCCATCCAGTGGCTGGCTTGGATCCCCCAGCTCTTAACCTGCTTGGTTGGATCAGAAGGAAAACTCCTCTTGAACCTCATTAGCCAGGTAGGGGAACGTAGGAAGTGGAGAAGGCACCGTTTGAGGGATCACCTTCTAGAATGGTTAGGGCAGTGTTTCTCAACCGTGACAATTTTAAGGCATGTGGACTTCAACTCCCAGAATTCCACAGCCAGCAATGCTGGCTGTGGAATTCTGGGAGTTGAAGTCCACATGCCTTAAAATTGTCAAGGTTGAGAAACACTGGGTTAGGGCCTTGGAAATAAGGAGGAATAAGGAGCAAGCAAATCAGGTTTCAGATTTGTATAAAATCATCTCTGCCACCCTTATCAGAACCTTTGTTTTGAGCCCTAGGCTCTCCGCCGGCCCCTTCCCTCCCTTTCCCCCCCCCTCTTTCCTCTGTATAAATCATTATTAATTGATTTCACGGACTCAGTAGCTATACCTGAATCAGTGGGCAGGTTGCTGTATCACAATACGTTGGAGACGGCCGTTGCATTTTTAACGGGCGCTTCTTCCTCGTGCAATAGGTTGGACGTGTCTACCCCCAAGCGGTTTACTTCCCCATCCGGACCCTCTATTTGACATTGAAGATAGAACAACGGGAGCGCTACAAAAGCGGTAAGCAAGGGGAACGTGGCAGTGCTACAACCTCAGGGGCTGGCTCGTAGGTCAGGGAAAATTGAGTGACTTGGCCTCCTGTGGCCGGAAAGACCGGCAGATCCTTGGTTAGCCTCCTTTCCTAATTGAAGAACGGGATCGGATGGTCCTGGTTCAACTCTTTCATTGCTGTTTTAATGATATTTTCCAGGATGGCTGGAATTTAGCCGTTCTAAAATTGCAACTGCAGTCAGGGTTTCATTTTCTGGGGCTTGGTGCTCTGTAAGCTGGGTGGTTTTCTTGCAGACGTTTCATTACCAAGCTAGGTAACATCGTCAGTGCTGGACGGGCGTAGAGTTTGTAGTGAGAGATGGAGGAGTGGAGGAGAAGGAGAAGGAGGAAGAGGAGGACCGTGGGGTCCTTGGTGCTCTCTGAGCTTGGTGGTTTTCTTGCAGACGTTTCATTACCAAATTAAGTAACATCATCAGTGCTAGAAGGGAATGGGGGTTTTGGTGACAGAAGGTGGATGGGAGGGGGAGGAGGAGGAGTGGAGGAGGAAGAGGAGGAGGAGAAGGAGGAAGAGGACTGTGGGGCCCTTGGCGCTCTTTGAACTTGTTGGTTTTCTCGCAGACGTTGTTTTATCAAGCTAGGTAACGTCATCAGTGCTAAAAGGGAGTGGAGTTAGTGGTAAGAGGAGGAGTAGCAGGAGGGGAGGAGGAGGAAGAGGAGGAGGAAGAGGACTGTGGGGTCCTTGGTGCTCTCTAACCTTGTTGGTTTTCTCACAGACATTTCATTACCAAACTAGGTAACATCATCAGTGCTAGCCCTTGGGTCTCAAACTGCCCATCTTCTGATCGACAGCCCAGCGTCTTAACCGCTAGGCATGTGCCCCGTTTCGGATATTACACACCCTATAACCATAGAGTTCCAGAGGTTTTCCCAACTTGGTCTACTCGAAGGGCTGACACCTTCTCCTTCCCATCTTCCCCCACCAAAGATTCCGGACAGCAGCAGCCGAGTTCCGTGGGAAGCCAGTCTCATTCTGCGTCGGACCCCGGACCGATCCGAGCGACGGCCCCCATGTGGCGATGCAGCCGTATCATGCACATGCAACGGGAGTTGCACCCAACGCTCCTCTCGTCTCTGGAGGGGATTGTGGATCAGATGGTCTGGTTCCGAGAAAATTGGCACGAGGAGGTAGGCTGTCCTCGAACCGGGGCGATGGGTTTGCGGTTTGGAGTTGCGGGGGGGGGGGGTCGAATTCATGTTGCAGAAAATAAGAATTTTGATTCACGTGAAATGAGAGTAGCAATAGCACTTAAGACTTATATACCACTTATATACCAACAATCTGGGTCCTTGTTTTATTGGATTTTTGGCTACCTGTGGTTCTGTTTTGACTTCTTGCAATATTGTGCTGTGGATTTGTTTTGTATTTTCATTACACAACTCTCTCTTTCTCTCTCTGTCCCTCTTGCCCCTCTCTCTGTCCCTTTCTCTCCTCTCTCTCTCCCTTTCTTTGTCCATCTCCCTCTCTCCCTCTCTCTCCCTTACTCTCTCTTCTTCTTTGTCCCTCTCTCTCCCTCCTTCTCTCTCCTTCCCTCTCTCTCTCTCTTCTCTCCCTTTCTCTCCCCCTCTCTCTCTGTCCCTCTCTCTTTCTCCCTCTCTCTCTCTGTCCCTCTCTCTTTCTCCCTCTCTCTCTCTCTCTGACCTTTTCCCACCTTTAGGTGCTCCGACAACTCCAGCAAGGCCTGGCCAAGTGCTACTCGGTGGCCTTTGAGAAGAGCGGGGCTGTTTCCGATGCCAAAATCACACCCCACACCCTGAATTTTGTCAAGAAGCTGGTCAGCACCTTCGGAGTGGGCCTGGAGAACGTCTCCAACGTCTCCACCATGTTTTCCAGTGCGGCTTCCGAATCCCTCGCCAGGAGGGCCCAGGCCACGGCTCAGGATCCCGTCTTTCAGAAACTGAAGGGGCAATTCACGACCGGTGAGTTACTTCTCGATGGACCGCGGATTGAGTTTTTTTTGGGGGGGGGTATTTTTGTCGCCATTCTCAACCCCAGTTTTAAATGAACCAAGGGCTCCCCAAATTTTGGAAATTGTCTTTGAAGCAGGACATTGTCTCTTCTTAGTTTGGAAGGAAGGGGTGGCGGAAGTAGCAGGAAAGAGGAAAGTTTTGATAAAATATAGGTAGTTCATATTTGTTCGTTTGTTTGTTTAAAACATGCATTTTTCACATTTTCAAATACCGTAGACACAATTTGCGACTCGTTGTAGTTGTGTGGTTTTGGGGGGGAAAAAACAACAACTGTCCAGAGAGGCAGATTTTCTTAAATTTCTAAAATAGAATTCTTGAAGCCCTCAGGATGGCGAAAGGATCCTTTTTCCGAGGGACGATAATGAAAAGCCTCTCTCAGAATATTTTATTTTTCAATTACGATTAGGCCCGACTAATTAAGATGAAAACAGCCATTTTACTTCGCCCAAGATGAGATTTGGCTGTAATCTGTTAAAAAGTTGGACCTTGAATTAATGTTGAAAGATGGAGGGGAAATGGCTGCCATTAAGTCGGTCAGCGGGCTTGAGGTTTGGACTTGTGGAATTTAATTCGTTTTTGCAGAAAATAAAATTTCTGATTAATGTGAAACGGGACTCGCGTCTCCCTGCTGCTGGATTAATGGCCTTTTAATCACCACACTGTTCTGCAGCCGATCCAGATCTTCCGGGTTTATAATGTCTTTGCGCCAATTGTACAGAGAGTCCTCCACTGACAGTTCGAAGCGATGAGAGCACTGGAAAAGCCACTGCCCTGTCCTTGGCGGGAATGTTCTTCGTAGTTCCTCGCTGTTTATTGTTTGATTGTTTGTCTGAGTTGATAGGACCTTGATTTTTTTTTTTTGTGGGGGGGGGGTATTATTTACTTCTTGATTCTTGAGTCTAGTATTAATTTAGTACTGAAAGGGCGAGCCAATTTGTATATGAACAGAGAGCAAACTCCACTCCATTGTAGCACTGATGATGTTACCTAGTTTGGTAATGAAACGTCTGCAAGAAAAGCACCAAGCTCAGGGACACCAAGGACTCCACAGTCCTCCTCCTCCTCCTCCTCCTCCTCCCTGCAAACTCCACTCCTTTCTAACACTGATGATCTATTCTACTCTGCTCTGCTCTGCTCTGCTCTACTCACTCTACACTCTACTGTACACTCTACATTCTATTCTATTCTATTCTATTCTATTCTATTCTATTCTATTCTATTCTATTCTATTCTACAATCTATTCTATTCTAATATTCACCAATATCTGTTCTGGTCTGTTCTGTCTGTTCTGTTTTGCTCTGCTCTATTCTATTCTATTCCTATTCCTATTCCTATTCCTATTCCTATTCTATTCTATTCTATTCTATTCTATTCTATTCTATTCTATTCTATTCCATTCCATTCCATTCCATTCCATTCCATTCCGCATTCTATTTTGTTTCTGTTCTATTCTAACTCCCTCGCCTAGCAACAGAAATTTGGGGCTCATTTAGGGTGGTAAGTGGAGGACCCCCCTGCAGTTTCTTTTTTTCCTCCCAGCGCAAAAGCCTCTTAATCCACCCATCCGTTATTCAGCGTTTTCAGAGCTGAACCCAAAATGTACTTTTCCTTCAACTAGTTTTTGTCCTGTTTTTTTGTTCCATCCGAAGCCCTTCCACCCACCTCAGGTAACAAAGATTGTATTTCGGATTGATGCCGAAAGAGATTTGATTTCTAACCTCATTAAGCCGACCGGCAGAACGGGCAACCGTGACTTGCGCCGTTCACGTTGCTGAAAAAAAAAGGCAATCTTTTGCCCTTAAAAAAAAAAAAAAAAGTCTGGATGTCGTTCGACAAGCCCAGTGTGAAGCCTTTTTGGCACGAACAAAGACACCTCATTAATTGTGTCGTCTCTCGCCGTTCTCGTCCGGCCTCGCAAAGCCAAAACAAGAACCCGGAAGAAGACAGAGCGAATTAAAGTAAGCGTTTTCCGTCGAGGAAAAACGAATCCTTACTGTGCAAAGAATGACACACTTAAAAAATATAACAACAATATTGCTGATTCTCCCCCCCCCTCCGATTTTGCATATTGTTCTTGGCGAAGAGGTTGTACTTCCCCGTTGGGGGACATATTTCTGCGCTTCAGGTAGCCGAAATTACCCAACGCGAACGGCGCGTTGCGTCTTTCTCACCCGTCTGCCAAGCCGTTTACTCCAGTTGTTCACTAGAGGGTAGACTTGGAATTAAAGTTGAGGGTTGTGGTTTTTTTTGTTTTTTTTTTGCCTAACCTTCATCATCGACCCAAGAGATGCTGGAAAAGATTTGGGGCACTTTTTTTTTTTTTCTTTTTTGAGAGAGAGAGAGAAAAAAAAAGCGTTTGGTACAATAAATCTGTGGCAAGATGAATGCGAGCCATCCATCTCGTTCTTAACGGGCATCCTGCAAAATGTGTTTTTGGATCAGTGGCCTCTTGGTAGATGTGTTGCGCAAGGCACCAGCGTGTTGAGTGTTACAATGCATTATCCACCAGCTTGACAGTCCTCCCATCGAAAAGGAGAACATAAATCTAAGGGAATAAATGGATTGGTGCCACGCAAAACCCACGAGAGAGAGAGAGAGAGAGAGAGAGAGAGAGAGGGAAAGGGAGAGAGAGAGGAGAGAGGGAGGGACAGAGAGAGGGAGAAAGATAGGAGAGGGAGGGAAGGAGAGAGGGAGGGACAGAGAGTGAGACGGACAAAGAAAGAGAGGAGAGAGGGACAGAGAGGGGGAAAGGGAGAGAGAGGAGGGAGGGAAGGAGAGAGGGAGGGAAGGAGAGAGGGAGAGGGAGAGAGAAAGGGACAGAGAGAGGAGACAGAGGGAGAGAGGGAGAAAGGGAGGGAGGGAGGGACAGAGAGTGAGAGGGACAGAGAGGGAGAGAGAGGAGAGAGGGACAGAAAGAGAGGGAGAAAGAGAGAAAGGAGAGGGAGGGAAGGAGAGAGGGAGGGACAGAGAGAGAGAGGGAGTCAGACAGAAAGGGACAGAGAGAGAGGGAGAAAGGGAGGGAGGGACAGAGAGTGAGAGGGACAGAGAGAGGGAGAGAGGAGAGAGGGAGAGAAAGAGGGAGAAAGAGAGAAAGGAGAGGGAGGGAAGGAGAAAGGGAGGGAAGGAGAGAGAGAGAGAGAGCATCTCTTTCCTGCCTCACCTGTCTCAGGTACGCCCAGCATTAAACGAGGAGGCTGTTCGATAGAGATGAGATGAAGCCGCCTCAAAATGGCACAGGCCCTCTTTTTATTTATTTATTTCCCCCTTCCCCCCCCCCTAGCAAAAATGATTGGGTTATTTTGATGTATGTGTCATACTTCGGAGCAGGGCTGAAGAATTTTAGTTTTGAGATGGCAGCCTGTTTCAATCTTCGCTCCCCTCTGGGCCGGCTGGGGATGATGGAGGAGATTGTCAAGCACATTTAGAGGGCATCGCACGGGGGAAACAACACGGTGTGTGGATGTCATTCTGCAGTTTTGAAGGCTGGGGGGGGGCAGGGCGGGTGGAAGATGTACTGAAAACTTGGTGACGTGCTGATCGTCTGTCTTAGTCCCTGCTAAAGGGATTAAAAGATTGGAATTTGAAAAGAGGGGAATTCGGCTGCTGGATGCTGCTTAGCAACTCTTTTTAATGTCTTGTTTTTGAGTAATACAGAAGGAGGAGGAAGGGAGGAGGAGGAGGAGGAGAAGCAGAAAGAGGAGGAGCAGAAAGAGGAGGAGCAGAAGGAAAAGGAGGAGGAAAAGAAGCAGGAAGAGGAGAGGCAGAAAGAAGAGAAGCAGGAGGAGGAGAGGCAGAAAGAGGAGGAGAAGCAGAAAGAAGAGAAGGAGGAGGAGGAGCAAAGGAAAAGGAGGAAAAGAAGCAGGAGGAGGAGAGGCAGAAAGAAGAGAAGCAGGAGGAGGAGGAGAGGCAGAAAGAGGAGGAGGAGAAGCAGAAGGAGAAGTAAATGGAGGAGGAGGAGGAGAAGCAGAAAAAGGAGGAGGAGGAGCAGAAGGAAAAGAAAGAGGAAAAGAAGGAGGAGGAGAATCAGAAGGAGGAGGAGAGGCAGAAAGAAGAAGAGGAGCAGGAGGAGGAGAAGCAGGAGGAGGAGGAGGAGCAGAAGGAGGAGAAACAGAAGCAGAAGGAGGAGGAAGAGAAGGAGCATTCCAGATAAAAGATGCTTGCCTTTTATTAAATATACATTTCTCTTTAAGGAGCGTTACCTTTGCAGTCACCCATTGGACCCTTTTTTTATAGGATGGCCCTGAAAATCAAGATTTCCATTTGGCTTAAGGTGGAGCTTAACAAATCCCAGTCACCAGTTCTTGTTACTTAAACCCAGCGGTCGGGTTTGGAAATAAAAATACTTGAAAGATACCGAAGTCAGTATCTTTCGCCATCCTCGGGTTCCCTCTTTCAATTAAATTTGATATAACACTTCCAAAGCGGTTAACAGCAAAGCGACTAATAACACAGAATCACACGTTATTAAATATGATTGTGGGGTAATAAAAACCAGACACTTAGGGACAAATGGAATACAAAGTGCGAGACATGCCATGAAAATAATATTAGGGCGGCGGGGGGGGGAGGGAGGGAGATTAAAATGATCCAGTGTCACTGCCTGTCAATTGCTGTTTAGGAACAGTCTATGAAAATGCCAGACCAAAATGGAAAATATACGTGCTGTCAAAAATCTTGAAAGGCAGATATTGGCAACTCTCTCTTTAGGCAAGACAATTGCCGTGCCACCAACAAAACTCCTCTATTGCTATTGTCCTGATTTAACTGTTAGGGATAGTTTTTTTTCTTTCTTTAAAAAAAAAAAAGTTTTCTAAACTGGTATGAGACTGTATTGACTGGGCAGCTTATAAGTTGAATTGAATGAAGGAATGAATGAGGTTTGATTTCTTCTAAACAAATCTGAACGTTGGGCATATTTCCCCTCCCAAAAAATGATAATATGTTTCTGTAGAGCAATATTTCGTTCTATAAACGAAATTGTCTTTTGATTTATCGCATATCAAAACCTTTTGAAAGCTAAAGCATATAAGGAACCGTTGCTGGAATTGGGTATGTCTGGTTTAATGAAGAGAAGGACGAGGGGGGACATGATAGCAGTGTTCCAGTATCTCAGGGGCTGCCCCAAAGAAGAGGGAGTCAAGCTATTCTCCAAAGCGCCTGAAGGCAGGACAAGAAGCAGCGGATGGAAACTGATCAAGGAGAGAAGCAACCTAGAACTAAGGAGAAACTTCCTGACAGTTAGAACAATTAGCCAGTGGAACTACCTGCCTCCAGAAGCGGTGGATGCTCCAACACTGGAAGTTTTGAAGAAGAGACTGGATAGCCATTTGTCTGAAATGGTATAGGGTTTCCTGCCTGAGCAGGGGGTTGGACTACATGACCTCCAAGGTCCCTTCCAACTTTATTATTATTGTTGTTGTTGTTGTTGACCTGGGAGGGAACTATCTAGCTACTTTTATGCAGTGAACACAGAACGAAATATTTAGATTTTTTTTTCTTTCTTTTGAAAGTAGGGCAACCCCAGCAGCATGTAACACCCACAAAATGTCAAAAAGACATGAAGCTTATTTCGTTTGTATTCCGTTTTGACTCTTGTGTAAGTTGGAACAGACCATCTTCAGTCATTGTGGCTTACCTCTTTTAAATCTTGGGTTAGAGGATAAAGTACCGAAAAATCTTAAAAGCTTGACCAACTCGATTGCGCCGTAGGATTTATACTCCGCTTTTCCGCTCCAGCTAGCAGTCAGGGCGCTAAGCTACTGTTAACAAAACATCAAGATTCAGAACAATAAAGTCATCACCGAAATCATACAGCCGTTAAACATTTGGTGAGAAAACTACATCTTCCCAGATTTCCTACACCTCTGAAGATGTACGATATGTTCTTGTTTTGGGGTTTTGTTAACGTTTTTCTTACCCTTTTCATTGGGACATCCTTTTAAACTGGTAGGAAGGTGAGGGAAAGGGAATAAAATTCTGAAAATCAACTTAACGGAGTCTGCATCGCAAATATCTTAATGCTTTCCATCCTAATTTTTCACAAATGGTTTTCTTCTTTTTTTTTTTTTTGTCCCCTTCTCTCTTTTAGATTTCGACTTCAGCGTGCCGGGCTCCATGAAACTCCACAATCTCATTTCAAAACTGAAGAAGTGGATCAAAATCCTGGAGGCCAAAACCAAGCAGCTGCCCAAATTTTTTCTCATTGAGGAAAAATGCCGTTTTCTTAGCAATTTCTCTGCCCAGACAGCAGAAGTGGAAATTCCAGGAGAATTTCTTATGCCCAAACCAACACACTACTACATCAAAATTGCCCGGTAAGGGAAGGCGGCTAAAATGGAGAACTTGGGTTGTAGTGTTGTGATACTGGATACTGTTGTCCAAGCTTTCTTTTAATGGATTCATTGGAAATCTTTTCAAGTCGTGGCTTGAAGAGCAAGATGCTGTTGAGGGTAGAAGGTACTGATAAAAGAGGATCTGTGTAGCTCAGGGTTGAACTGTGGGGTCCTTGGTGCTCTCTGAGCTTGGTTGTTGTTTTCTGGTGGGCATCTCACTACCCAACTATGTAACGCTGTCAGTATAATAATAATAATTTTTATTTTGTGGTCACAGACCAAAATGAAAGTGCAACAAAAGAAAACACAAGAAAAATATAATCACAAACAATTAAACACCAGAAGCCTTGGCTAAAGGAAATTACAACGTTCTCCTCTAATAGTTACAGCTCTTAAAAGAAATTTAGAAACCTGAGTAGTAACGCTGTCAGTATGAGAAGGGAGTGGGGTTTGCGGAGTGGAAGAGGAGGAGAAAGGGAAGGAGAAGGAAGAGCAAGAGGAAGCCTCTGGGGTCCTTGGCGCTGTCTGTTGTTTTCTGGCAGACATTTCATTACCAAATTAGGTAACATCATCAGTGCTAGAAGGGAGTGGGGTTTGTAGAGAAGAGGGAGAGGAGGAGGAGGAGGAGGAGGAGGAGGAAGAAGAAGACTATGGGATCCTTGGTGTATTCTGAGCTTGATGGTTTTCCTGCGGACATTTAATTACCCAACTAGGTAACATCATCAGTGCTAGAGGGAGTGGAGGAGAAGGTGAAGGAGGAGGAAGAGGAAGACTGTGGGGTCCTTGATATATTCTGAGCTTGATGGTTTTTTTGCAGACATTTAATCACCCAACTAGGTAACATCATCAGTGCTAGAAGGGAGTGGAGGAGGAGGAGGAGAAGGTGAAGGAGGAGGAAGAGGAAGACTGTGGGGTCCTTGGTGTACTCTGAGCTTGATGGTTTTCTTGCAGACATTTAATTACCCAACTAGGTAACATCACCAGTGCTAGAAGGGAGTGGAGGAGAAGGAGAAGGAAGAGGAAGACTGTGGGGTCCTTGATGTACTCTGAGCTTGATGGTTTTCTTGCAGACATTTAATCGCCCAACTAGGTAACATCATCAGTGCTAGAAGGGGCTTGTCTATAAACAGAGAGCAAACTCTGCTTCTTTCTAGCACTCACGGTGTGCTAAATAGGAGTGAAAAGCTGTCATAAGTCTTTTTTCAGTGCCGTTGTAACTTCAAATGGCCACTACACAAATATGTGTAAGTCAAGGACTACCTGATATATAGACCAGTCTTTTTTCCAACCTGGGACAAGCTTAAAAGCAGGCTGCGTGCGACTCAGGGATCCCGTAGTCCACAATTGTGGACTTGAGGAGGCCACAGTTCAGCAAGGCTGGTGCTCAAGACAAACATCCTCTCAGGGGTTGTGTTGTTTCTGGCTCAGAAGAGTGTTTCCGATTGCGTTCTCCAGCGTGCTCCTTTCCCCCCCTCTGTGCGTGTTTTCGAGAAGTTGTGTCACTCCGTTTGGAGGAGACAAAAGGACGGTGTGTATCCGCGGCAGCTTTTCACAGAAAACACTAATCTCAGCTGAGCCCCCGGTAATAGAAAAACCCAGTTGCTTAAAAGGTTGTGTCGTTACAAAAATTCATAATGCCGGCGTTTCGTCGAGCGGCATAATGGGCTTCCTATTGTTAGCGTTTTTTAAGTAAGGTAATAGAATTCCTCCTCTTTTTTTTTTTCTTTTCTTTTTCTTTAAAATCTGGCTTTCATCTCAAAAGGAGAAAAAAAAAAGGAAGCTTTAAGAATCTGGAAACTCAGCTGCTATATATCTTTTTTTTTTCTCCTCCCGGATAGATTTATGCCCAGAGTAGAGATAGTCCAGAAACACAACACGGCAGCCCGAAGACTCTACATCCGAGGCCACAATGGGAAGATCTACCCCTACCTTGTCATGAACGATGCTTGCTTGACCGAGTCGCGTCGAGAGGAACGCGTCCTGCAGCTTCTCCGCCTCCTGAACCCTTGTTTAGAAAAGAGAAAAGAGACCACCAAGAGACACCTTTTCTTCACCGGTGAGTTTGAGAAGGTTGAGGGGCACCAGAAATGCTTTAACGTTGGGGTGGTGGGGGAGAGAGAGAGGTTGTTCTCTGTTCGGTGAACTGTGAGAAGGACGGGCCAAAATCAGAACATAGAAGATAGGGATGGAAAAGGGAGCTCAGAGGTCTTCTAGTCCAACCCGCTGCTCAAGGCAGGAGACCGTATACCAGGGGTCTTCAAACTTGGCCCTTTTATGACTTGTGGACTTCAACTCCCAGAATTCGTGCCTGGCTGAGGAATTCTGGGAGTTGAAGTCCACAAGTCATAAAAGGGCCAAGTTTGAAGACCCCTGCCTTATACCATCCCAGTCAAATGATTGTCCAATCTCTTCTTAAAAACCTCCAGTGATGGAGCACCCACAACTTCTGGAGGCAGGTTGTTCCACTGGTTAATTGTTCTCACTGTCAGGGAATTTCTCCTCAGTTCCAGGTTGCTTCTCTCCTTGATTAGTTTCCATCCGTTGCTTCTTGTCCTGCCTTCAGGCGCTTTGGAGAATGGCTTGACTCCCTCTTCTTTATGGCAGCCCCTCAAATATTGAAGACTGTTCTCCTGTCACCCCTATTTCTCCTTAGTTCTACCTTGGATCTCTCTTGAACAAGCTTCTATCTTCTTCTGCCCTCTGGTGCTCTAGAGAATAATTAAAGAGTTCAGAGCAGATCTACTAACGTGACGGTTCTGGAAACCACATCCTGTGAGGGACAGTTAAAGGATCTGGAGATGTTGAGGCTCCCAAATGGATGAACGAGGGGAGACGCGATTGTCATTTTCAAATAGCTGAAGGATAGTTAAATGGACTTATTCTCTGTGGCCTCAGAGGGCTGGAGCAGAACCAGTAAATTGTAAGGAACAGTTGCTAGAATTGGGTATGTCTAGTTTAACGAAGAGAAGGACGAGGGGGGACATGAGAGCAGTGTTCCAATATCTCAGGGGCTGCCCCAAAGAAGAGGGAGTCAAGCTATTCTCCAAAGGGCCTGAAGGCAGGACGAGAAGCAACGGATGGAAACTGATCAAGGAGAGAAGCAACCTAGAACTAAGGAGAAACTTCCTGACAGTCAGAACAATTAACCAGTGGAACAACCTGCCTCCAGAAGCGGTGAATGCTCCATCACTGGAGGTTTTTAAGAAGAGACTGGACAGCCATTTGTCTGAAGTGGTATAGGACAGAGGTAGGTAATCTTGGCTCTTTTGTGACTTGTGGACTTCAGTACCCAGAATTCCTGAACCAGCCATGCTGACAGGAATTCTGGGAGATGAAGTCCACAAGTCACAAAAGAGCCCAGGTTGCCTATCCCTGGTATAGGGTTTCCTGCCTGAGCAGGGGTTGGACTAGATGACCTCCAAGGTCCCTTCCAACATCATCATCATCATCATCATTAGGTTGTAGGTTTCAGGTTAGACATCCAGAGGAACAATCGGATGGTACAAGCTGAGTCAATCAGTGGAACAGGCTGTCCTGTAAATCGGTGATGTCTTCTACTTTGGGCGATCCTCTTTCAGGGGTGTATATCTTGTAGACTAGGAAGTTGGACTGGTCACAAATGGTCATAAAATTGGGCATGATCCACTTAACAGCCGTCTTGCTTAGCAGCAGAACCTAACGGTCGCTGTGTTGGCAAAATAACACAATGCTGGCATGGTTCATTCACACCGCTCTGTTAAAATGTCAGATTTCTCTTCCGTTAACAATTTATGTGCGTCTTTTATTTTATTTTTATTTTTTTGCTTCTCAATTATATTTGATTATAGCATTCAACAAAACCTTTTGGTTTCCGGAGGCTTTTATTTATTATGGTGTTTTTTTTAAAAAACCGTTCCGTGAGTTTACTGATGGCTGACTATATATATAGTGGCCTGTCGCAAAATAACGCTTTGCATATAATAAAAGGGAAAAAAACAAACAAACAAGCGCCCACCAAGAATAGGCTTGGAAAGTAAATACTTCAATCAGAGTCATTTTTAACAACCCATTTGAGATGGGATGTATTGTTACTTTAATGCTTTTTTTTTCTTTTTTCCCCCTTTCTCTTTTCTGCACCCAAATTTTGACAGCTCTTATTTATTTGCAACAAAGCCCAATTCAGGCTATCCGAGGCTTAGCAAATTAAAAACCCGATGTAGCTTTTCTGAGCCTGTCTTTAAAGAAACAGCAATCTGGCAGGGTCCATAAAGGGGAAGGTAGACCTTGTGAAGGCTGATGACTCATTTAATGACCGCATTGCTTAGAGCAGAAGACCAACATTTCATGCCTTAACTAAGGAAAGCAAACTTGGGTTGTTAATCTGTACAAAAATCACCCTTCCTTCCTGCCTAAGAGCAGTGTAAGAAAAGAGCCGGCAGAGCTGGGGAGGGTGGAGTTAAGTGTGTCATCGGCCTAGAGTTCTTAACGTGGCCACAAATGGTTCAAGTCCAACCCCTCTTGACTTCCATTGACCCTTAATCTGGCACCAATTTAATAATGACCAGATTCTTGTGTATAGACTTGAGCAATACATCTTTGAACTATAACTTAACCTATTTGCAATCAGCTAGTGGCCTTCAGATCTCCAGTAGCATGGTCTAGCAACTGAGGCAGGGAACCGTGCATCCTTCCCAGAGTTATATGTTAGCTTGTTCAGACTTAATCTTTGCCAGGTTGATTGTCAATTTTGGGTGGTCTTATTGTGAGCGCTCTCTCTCCCTCTCTCTTCCTTTCCTTTCTTCCTTTTCTTTCTTTCTTTCTTTCTTTTTTTTTCTTTCTTTCTTTCTTTCTTTCTTTCTTTCTTTCCTTTCTTCCTTTCTTTCTTTCTTTCTTCCTTCCTTTTCTTCCTTCCTTCCTTCCTTCCTTCCTTCCTTCCTTCCTTCCTTCCTTCCTTTCTTTCTTTCTTCTTTCTTTCATGCTGTGAGGGATGCCCAAAGATCACAATGCCCTTCACTTAAATCATCTCAGCTTCTGCATAATGGTTGATGAAATACTATAGCTTTTATTTAAACAGGCTGTTCTCCAGGTCCTTTGTTCTCTCTTTCAGTCTCCACCCATTGTTTCCCCCTCCTCAAGAGATTACCTTGGGATCAATCCAAGCCTTGACAATGGAAACGGTGGTCCACCCATCGCAAAGCATGCGCGGGCACACGGTGGCCTCACGTTCCTCACTTTCCTCTCCCACAAAAGAGGGCGTGCCACGTTGCAGCTGTTGTCTGTCATGGTTGTAAGGTTTCCAGTAGAACGTCAGAAAAGCTTGAAACATGTGCTGACTGGGGTTTTTTTTTTTTTAACAGCATCTGCAGTGGATCAATCAACTCAAATCTTGTAGCTGTGATTTTGCGGGTGGAGAAAGCTTACATGATTTTGAGTGAAAAATCTGCTCGACTCAGAGGCTAGGTCAGGGCTGTCCACCCTTGGCAACTTTTAAGACCTGTGGACTTTCAACTCCCAGAATTCAACTCCCGGAATTCAACTCTCAAAATTCTGAGACTTCAACTCCCAGAATTCCCCAGTTAGCTGTGGGCTTCAGCTCCCGGAATTCAACTCCCGGAATTCAACTCTCAAAATTCTGAGACTTCAAATCCCAGAATTCCCCAGTTAGCTATGAACTTCAGCTCCCAGAATTCAACTTTCAGAATTCAACTCTCAAAATTCTGAGACTTCAAATCCCAGAATTCCCCAGTTAGCTGTGGACTTCAGCTCCCAGAATTCAACTCCCAGAATTCAACTCTCAAAATTCCGAGACTTCAACTCCCAGAATTCCCCAGTTAGCTGTGGACTTCAGCTCCCAGAATTCAACTCCCGGAATTCAACTCTCCAAATTCTGAGACTTCAACTCCCAGAATTCCCCAGTTAGCTGTGGACTTCAGCTCCCAGAATTCAACTCCCAGAATTCAACTCTCAAAATTCCGAGACTTCCAACTCCCAGAATTCCCCAGTTAGCTGTGGACCAGCTCCCAGAATTCAACTCCCGGAATTCAACTCTCCAAATTCTGAGACTTCAAATCCCAGAATTCCCCAGTTAGCTGTGAACTTCAGCTCCCAGAATTCAACTCCCAGAATTCAACTCTCAAAATTCTGAGACTTCAACTCCCAGAATTCCCCAGTTAGCTGTGGACTTCAGCTCCCGGAATTCAACTGCCCAAATTCTGAGACTTCCAACTCCCAGAATTCCCTAGGCGACTGTGGACTTCCGACTCCCAGAATTTAACTCTCCAAATTCTGAGACTTCAACTCCCAGAATTCCCCAGTTTAGCTGTGGACTTCAGCTCCCGGAATTCAACTCCCAGAATTCTGGGACTTCAACTCTTTAAGTCCACAGGTCTTAAAGTTGTCAAGGATGGACACCCCTGGGCTAGGATATGGAATAGGCTGTTGGCTGTCACGGATGCAAGACATGGGGGTGCGCACAAACATTTCAGGCACAAAATAGCCACGTTGAGTGCTTCAGCTTAAAATTTATGGCCATAAGTTCCCAGCAAGGGCATAATTGAGATTAGAAGAAAGGTTACCGAGGCTTCTGGACAAGATTTGAAGATAGATGGACACGTGCTAGGATGTTTTGGATTTCTTAGTGGTGCTCCTTCCTGCCGTTTTCCACGAAATGAATGGCTCCTTTACTTTTTTCCCCTTCGTGTTTCCCTTCTCCAGTTCCCCGCGTTGTGGCTGTCTCTCCCCAGATGCGTCTTGTGGAGGACAATCCGTCTTCTCTCTCCCTGGTGGAGATCTACAAGCAACGTTGCGCCAAGAAAGGGATTGAGCACGACAGCCCCATTTCTCGCTACTACGACCGGCTGGCGACCGTCCAGGCACGAGGGACCCAGGCCAGCCATCAGGTACTGCATCGGGGACAGAAAATGCTGTCCACTTAGTGTCCAGTTCTGGTTACCGCCATTCAAAAAGGAGACTAAGATTCTAAAAAAGAGTGCAGAGAAGAGCAAAAACGATTAAGGACTGGAGGCTCAGACATACGAAGAACGGTTGCTGGAATTGAGGAAGTGTAATCTAATGAAGAGAAGGACGAGGGGGTACAGGATAGCAGTGTTCCAGTATCTCAGGGGCTGCCCCAAAGAAGAGGGAGTCAAGCTCTTCTCCAAAGCACCTGAAGGCAGGACAAGAAGCAACAAATGGAAACTAACCAAGGAGAGAAGCAACCTAGAACTAAGGAGAAATTTCCTGACAGTCAGAACAATTAACCAATGGAACAACCTGCCTCCAGAAGTGGTGAATGCTCCAACACTGGAAGTTTTTAAGGAGAGATTGGACAGCCATTTGTCCGAAATGGTATAGGGTTTCCTGCCTGAGCAAGGGGTTGGACTAGATGACCTCCAAGGTCCCTTCCAGTCCTATTATTCTATGTCAGTGATGGCAAACCTTTTAGGGACCGAGTGCCCAAACTGCAACCCAAAACCCACTTATGCATCGTCGAGTGCCGGGTGGGTGTGGCCCATTGGCTGGGTGTTGCCAATTGGGTGGGCGTGGCCCATTGGGTGGGCGTGGCTGCAGACTGGGTGGGACTAAAAAGTTCAATCAATCAATTCCAACTTTGCAAGATCTTTTTTTTCCCCCGTGAGAAGTTGAACTTGATTGACTGATTGAACCTTTTTTTATTTTGCACACGGCGGCACAGGCCTAAAGCGAAAAGGTTTTATAAAACCCAGCTGAAGGCCTAGGACTGGGGCGACGGCGCGCGTGCCCACAGAGAGGGCTCTGAGTGCCACCTCTGGCACCCGTGCCATAGGTTTGCCACCACTGTTCTATGTCCTCGTGTTGTTTACTCAAGAGATTGGTCTTTTAGGGTTGGCATTTAAACTCTGTTCCCACGCCTTTCCCTTAATCGCCTCACTCTGACTAAAACACAGTTTGACTCTTCCCGAGAAAGAGTAGGTACAAATTAAATCTTCCATTACTGTCCTTGCTCATCCATTTCTGATCAGAAATGGTTAGCTTAAAAGGTTTAAAATTTATAGGCGGGCCGAAAGTTGTGCTTGACCCCGTTTTTTAATTCCAGGTGCTCCGTATCTCGAAAGTTCACCTGCTAATAAGGAACCTTTTCATTCTTTGCCCAGCCTTAAAAAAAATCAAGTGACTTGGAACATCTGTCTCCTTTTCTTCTTCTTTTTTTGCCAGGCACTTGCCTTCGGCTCGCAGAAATTTTGTCTCTCTAAATAATTTAATTTGAGCAAGTGTAGTGATTGTTCTTTTCGAGCAGCTCCCCTCTTCATTTCCAACTCCAATTAATTAAGCCCGTTCAGGCTGTAGTAATTCATTACGGGTGACTTACAGATATTTACACGGGAGACCCAGCTTGCCCGCAGAAGGTGTGGGAGCAAAAAAAAACCTGTAGAGATTCTCCAGCCAGCCATGAATGATAAAGTTGGAAGGACCAGAAGGATCACTTAGTCCAGTGTTTCTCTATCTTGGGAACTTGGAAGATGGGTGGACTTCAACTTCCAGGGTTCCCAGCCAGCCATGAATGATAGAGTTGGAAGGACCAGAAGGATCACTTTGTTCAGTGTTTCTCTATCTTGGGAACTTGGAAGATGGGTGGACTTCAACTAAAGGATCACTTAGTCCAGTGTTTCTCTATCTTGGGAACTTGGAAGATGGGTGGACTTCAACTTCCAGGGTTCCCCAGCCAGCCATGAATGGTAGAGTTGGAAGGACCAGAAGGATCACTTAGTCCAGTGTTTCTCTATCTTGGGAACTTGAAGATGGGTGGACTTCAACTCCCAGGATCCCCCAGCCAGCCATGAATGGTAGAGTTGGAAGGACCAGAAGGATCACTTAGTCCAGTGTTTCTCTGTCTTGGGAACTTGGAAGATGGGTGGACTTCAACTTCCAGGGTTCCCCAGGCAGCCATGAATGGTAGAGTTGGAAGGACCAGAAGGATCACTTTGTTCAGTGTTTCTCTATCTTGGGAACTTGGAAGATGGGTGGACTTCAACTAAAGGATCACTTAGTCCAGTGTTTCTCTATCTTGGGAACTTGAAGATGGGTGGACTTCAACTCCCAGGATCCCCCAGCCAGCCATGAATGGTAGGGTTGGAAGGACCAGAAGGATCACTTAGTCCAGTGTTTCTCTGTCTTGGGAACTTGAAGATGGGTGGACTTCAACTCCCAGGATTCCCCAGACAGCATGGGGAAGCCATTCCGCAGCCACGCTTTCTCAACAAGCCGAGAGTTGAAGCCCACCCATCTTAAAGTTGCAGAGGTTGAGAAACACCGCATTAAACAGTTAAGATTTGACCACCCCAAAAGTGATAGGGAAAAAGACCATGGCCAGGGACCCCCCACAAGACTTAACTCAAGATTTAAATCATAACCACATCTCCAGCCTTTGCGGACCCCCCCAATGTGATGACATTGCAGCCCGCAGGGGTCCGAGGTTGAGAAGCATTGTCCTACACCAGGGGTCTTCAAACTTGGCCCTTTGATGACTTGTGGACTTCAACTCTCAGAATTCCTCAGCCAGGCTGAGGAATTCTGGAAGTTGAAGTCCACAAATCATCAAAGGGCCAAGTTTGAAGGCCCCTGGCCTACACCAGCCAACGTCACCAGCCCACCTCCTCATCCAACTTCACGCTTCCCGTCTCAGGTCCTCCGGGATATTCTGAAAGAAGTTCAGGGCAACATGGTGCCACGCAGCATGCTGAAGGAGTGGGCCCTTCACACCTTCCCCAACGCCACCGACTACTGGACCTTCCGGAAGATGTTCACAATCCAGCTGGCGCTGATCGGGTTTGCGGAATTCGTCTTCCATTTGAACCGACTCAACCCGGAGATGCTGCAGGTTGCTCAGGTAGGTTTTGAAGGACCTTGTCTAAGAGAAGTGATCCGTGCAGTGACCCCCCCCCCCCNACCCTCCTCCTCCTCCTCCTCCTCCTCCTCCTCCTCCTCCTCCTCCTCTCTGCAAACCCCACTTCATTCTAGCACTGATGATGTTACCTAGTTTGATAATGAAACATCTGCAAGAAAACCACAAGCTCAAAGAGCACCCAGGACCCCTCAGTCCTCCTCCTCCTCCTCTTCCTCCTCCTCCTTCTCCTCCTCCTCCTCCCTGCCTCCCCCTTCCAGTTCTCAACCATCCCTTTCCAGCTGCATTGTCAGGTGGAACGTTGAAAATTCCTGCATGGAGAAAAAAAGCAGAAACAAGAGCAATTTCCCCCCCCCCACACACACACACACTCCCACCCCCTCGGGCTGACCCATCCAGCAGCACAACAAAAGAAGCCATTATTCAGATTGATACCTCGCTGAGAAAGTTTATACCTGTCATCTTTATACGCCGGTTAATAGAGGGCTGTGTTCAAAGCTGAATTTCTTGTTAACCTCTCTGTGCCGATCCTGACCGGCCTGTGTGTGTGTGTGTGTGTGTTAGAAAAAGCCTCTCTCTTTGCATTCTGCATGAATGTCGACCTTGTGTATCGCAAACGTCAAACGGAATTGAATAGGGGGAGCCCCCCCTTTTTTAGTCTTAATCTCTAGGGGGCCACGTGATCCCCCCCCGCAAAAAAAGGTTAAGGGGGGGGAAACAATGTGAGAAACAGAGATACCAAATAGCTACCTCTTTTTTTCTGGCACTTTCTTCCTCAAAATAAACAAAAATGTAAGAGTCCAAGAAAAACGGTCTTCACATACTTTTTCTCGATACTGCCATAATTTCGGCCACTATACAAACGGTTGTAAGTTGAGGACTTCCTGCACATTGTCTCTTAACAATTAATTTTGGGTAGAAGTGTTTGGAAGCCTCTGGGGGCCACCCAGGAGATTTTGGAGACGGCCCCCGGTGGCCCCAGGCTGTGCATTATTGTTTTTGAGTAATTTTCTTCCTGTTTTTCTCTGTCGCTCCTTCCAACGTTGTGCTTGTGTGTCGCCCCAATGCTTAGGATACAGGCAAATTAAACGTGGCCTACTTCCGGTTTGACATCAACGATGCTACCGGGGATCTGGACGCCAACCGTCCCGTCCCGTTCCGGCTCACCCCAAACATTTCGGAATTCCTGACCACCATCGGGGTCTCCGGGCCCCTCACAGCATCCATGATTGCCGTGGCTCGTTGTTTTGCTCAGCCAAACTTCAAGGTAAGTGTGTAATGGGTCAGGGTGGACAAGGACGGGGGCAGCCGGTCGCTCCGTCAGCTGCCGGGAAAATTTACTGATGGATTGATTTTAAATGGATCGATTTATTCTTTATTTGTGTGCTGCCTTCATTATTTTTAGAGGTAACGTAAGGCAGTGGACATATCCAGCACACACCTTCCTCCTCCTGTTTTCCTCACAACAACGATCCTGTGAGGTGGGTTGGGCTGAGAGAGAAGGATTGGCCAAAGTCACCCAGCTGGCTTGCACGGCTAAAGCGGGACTAGAACTCACCGTCTCCTGGTGATTGGCCCAAAGTCACCCAGCTGGTGTGCATGCCTAAGGCGGGACTAGAACTCACCGTCTCCTGGTGATTGGCCCAAAGTCACCCAGCTGGTGTTCATGCCTAAGGCGGGACTAGAACTCACCATCTCCTAGTGCAGTGGTTCTCAACCTGTGGGTCGGGACCCCATTTGGGGTCGATTGACCATTTCACGGGGGTCGCCAAGCAAGGCTGTCCGCCATTTTTTTGTCTGCCATTTTTTTTTGTCCGCCATTTTTTTCCCCTTTTCCGGCGGGTGCCTTACCTCCCTTGAGCTGGGCCAGCTGGTGGTCGGCCTGCTCCGTCTCTGCTGCTTGCCAGCTACGCCTCGGCCGGCGCAAGGGGCAGGGAAAGTCCTCGACTTACGACCGGTTTAGTCCTCGACGTACGACCGGTTGGGGTCGCGGCATTAAAAAGGTTGAGAACCACTGTCCTAGTGATTGACCCAAAGTCACCCAGCTAGCATTCACATCAAAAGTGGGACTAGAACTCACCATCTCCTGGTTTTTAGCCTGGCGCCTTAACCAAACTGGTTCTCTTTAGTTTCTATTTATTTATTAAATTTATATGCCGCCCGTATCATTGTCTCAGGTTACTCTGGGCGGCTTACAGTTGTCTAAAGACATAAACATAAGGGTATTAAAAGCATTGAAATTAAGTTTAACAAGAATACAAGAAAGAGAGTAATCCATCTGCAGAGCCATATTTTATCTGTAGAGACAGATAAGCTATCGCCACTCTCCTGATGTTGTCAATACCGATTTGTATATTCTGGATATTTAAATTATCAGTTCGGTCCTGCCGGTTAATGACCGCAATAAAGAAATTTACATTTATAATAATTTACGATGATCACCCCGGAGACATTATCATAAATTGTGCCAAATTAGCATCAATTGTAACAGATTGTGATGACCGCCCAGGATAAATTATCATAAATTGTAATAAATTATGATTCTTATCCTGGCTAAATGATCATAAATGCAGCGTCCCCACCCTACTCTTGAAAAGAGGATCCGATTAAAATATTTTATCACTTCCCGTGTTTCTGAAGTATAAAACCTCCGGCTTCAGTCGTTCTGGCTTGATCCAGACTGTGCATTCAAACACTCTTCTTACTTGGCTTATTCTTAAGTGAACTTGTTGACATGAAGAGTTCAGATAAAGGCCTAGAAAGTCCTAAAAGAGTATTTCCAGGATGGTCCCAAATTCCACCATCGTTCTAATCCAGAACTGGGCATTTTATGACTTCTGAGCCACATACGACCCTCCCTGGTCCACGTGAATTGCTTTTATTCTGAAGGAGGCCATATGTAAAAGACTTACATAGGTGTGTGTGTGTATGCCTACACCTCTTCACAGCCCTTCACACTCAAGGTTCTCCTGTGGCTCCTTTGGAAAAATTAATAGCCCATTCCTGCTCTAATCTGCCTTTTGAGTGGAATTGGTTCATCTTTTTCCTACCTTCATAGATCACAGGAAGTGTTAGTACCATTTTATAATGCCTTGGGTAAGACCACCTTTGGCATATTGCGTCCAGATTTGGTCGCCATGATATAAAAAAGATGTTGAGACTCTGGAAAGAGTGCAGAGAAGAGCAACAAAGATGATTAGGGGACTGGAGGCTGAAGAATGTTTGCAGGAATTGGGTGTGTCTGGTTTAATGAAAAGAAGGACTAGGGGTGACACGATAGCAGTCTTCCAATATTTGAGGGGTTGCCATAAAGAAGGGGGGGTGTCAACCTATTCTCCAAAGCACCTGAAAGCAGAACAAGAAGCAACGGATGGAAACTAGTCAAGGAGAGAACCAACCTAGCAATAAGAAGAAATTTCCTGACAATGAGAACAATTAATCAGTGGAACAATTAATCAGTGGTTGTGGGGCACCTTCTGGAAGGCTATTAATGAATGGAATGGCTTATCTCCAGAAGTTGTGGGTGCTCCATCTCTGGAGGTTTTCAAGAAGAGACTGGACAGCCATTTGTCTGGAGTGGTATTGGGTCTCCTGCTTGAGCAGGGAGTTGGACTAGAAGACTAGAAGATCTCCAAGGTCCCTCCCACCTCTTATTCTCTTCTCTTCCAGGTTGACGGCATCCTGAAAACCGTGCTGCGCGATGAAACCATTGCTTGGCATAAGAAAACCCAAGAGGACACATCCTCTCCCCTCTCAGCAGCTGGACAGCCGGAGAACATGGACAGCCAACAGCTGGTGTCGCTGGTTCAGAAAGCTGTGACTGCCATCATGACCCGGCTCCATAACTTAGCTCAGTTCGAAGGCGGAGAGAGTAAAGTCAACACCTTGGTTGCGGCCGCTAATAGCTTAGACAACCTGTGTCGCATGGACCCAGCCTGGCATCCATGGCTGTAGATGTGTCCTTAAGACTTGAAGGATAGCAAAGCCAGTTGAGACATGACGAGGTCCTTCACACCCATCACGGATGGTTCTTCATCCATCCTGGCCCTGATGTTTCCAGCATGATCATGTTTCCACGAGCAGTTATGTTTATAGACTTCTCATCTCAAAGTTAGATTCTTTCCTTATCATGCTGACATCACTCCAGTCCAGTGTGTGGGGTGTGTGTGGTCATCTAAAGGACGAGATTTGAACTTCGCACCTCGAACAATCTTTATTTTACGTTGTGAGTGAGAAGAGGGAAGATGCTGGCAAGAGTTGAGACTCGCCCAAGAGTCCTAGTCAATTTTATTTTATTTTATTTTATTTTTAAAAAAGAATTATCCCCACCTCAAGGATTTTGGTATGCAAAGATTCCCTCCCCCCCCCCCCCGTTTTTTTAAAAAAAACCTGTTTATTTTCCAGTCGATACAAAGACCGGTGAAAGATCATTTTAATCCAGGCAAAAATGTAGGCAAGTTAGGGGCATTGTACAGCGGGTTTTTTTGTAAGAAAGATGTACAGGAAAAAAAATCCTTCTTTTTTGGGTTGGTGTTGTTATTGTTTTGGTTGCTAGTTGGTTAAAAAAAAAAAAGATCAAATTGTGCTATTTTATTTTTTTTCTGCAGAGCTTTTTACGGTGAAAGTGAACCCATTTCTGGGTTGGTGAATCCCTTAGGCCTAAGAGGAACTTTGTAAACCTGAAATTCTTGTCCGTTAAAACAAGTATTTGGAAGGAACCCATGCGCGCAAATCCCAAAACTTTTGAACACCCCATGATGTCTTTTGGTTTTCCAGCTCCCACACATTTTAAATATATATCCTTCAGTAACTTCCCTGAGGAGCTGGGTGTTGTTGTTTTTTTTTGGTTTTTTTTTGTTTAGTTTTAGCTGTGTAATTTAAAAAGAAAAGAGAAAGACATTGTTTTTATCGCATCCATCTTAGCCTTTTTTATATATATAAAACCGTACCGCAATATTGAGAATGTTCCAGTTCAAATTTGTAAGGAGTGAACTTTTTTCCTTTGGAATAAATATTTTCTAAAATGCTAGGACTGGCCTTTGTTTGGCTCCTGGTGCTTTTTCAAGTGGCCGTAAAAAAAGAGATGGATGAAGGACATACCCCCTCAGGAGAAGAAGAAGAAGAAAAAAAAGAAACAGAGTGCTTTTAAAACGAGAGATATTTTTTTTTCTCCTGGCTTTTAAGTTGCAGGCACTGCATAAAGAGCAGATGCAAAATTGCCTTCATATTCAAACGTTCTAAGAACCGGGTGCTCACCCTCCCTCCCTCCATATTAATTACTTTTTTCTCATCAGGAATTTCTCAAATGACTCCAATTCCCATGTTGCTTGGAGTTCTGAAAGAAAAATAGTGGCTGGTGGGATCTACTGCAGGTAGTGGCTTCCAAAACCTAGAAAGACATAGAGAGTCTTGCCAAACTAAAGCAAGCTAGTGGTATTCTGTGACCGTAATGGAGCCTGTTCATGAAGGCTTAATTCATGTTTTGCTAATGGCCACATTCCTTCTCCAAGGTCATCTTTCTTTGCAGCAAGATCTCTGAAGGAGATAGAGATTTGAAGGACAGCCAGAAGCAGCCTTGCCAGCTGGCCTTCTGGGATACGGGTATTTTGAATCGGCCACATATGCCCTTGGATCCAAGGTGGACTGTAGATTTCAAAGAAGAACTAGTCCATCCAAGAACTAATGGAAGGTCAAGAGTTCCCTTAAAGCAACGATCAGCAAAGAGAACTCATATGCTTTGGGTGTGTGATGCAGGCACCTGATGCACTACAACGGTTATGCTTTTGCGAAGTGGAGGGAAGCAGAAGACGACAAAGGAGACAGAGGACATCCTGAATATGGCTACCAGCCTCAAAAATTAATGTTTGCTAGGCTAGAAGTGGGAACTGTACCAGGGTTAGCAGAACAATGATCTGGAATCTGCTCTCATTGATGTCCGTCAGTTGTACTTTGGATTTTGGCAATGGTTTGGTTTAATGTCAACCGTCTGGCTGGCGAATTCAATATTGAAGAAACTCTACAGTCTTGAGGTGCCATAAGATATCATCTTTATTGAATACACAGACCGGCACTGAAGAAGCAAAATCAACTCTAGTCTTCCCGCGCTAAAATCTGGTTAGTTAACAATGGTTTTTCATAACCCCCACGTTGCCCGATCACATCCTTTCTGTCTGTTATGGGAATTGTCCACTTCTGCTTTTGATGACCTTGGGTCTCCAGGTCCGTGGACGGCTTCTTGAAACTCCCAGTTTCTTTCCCAGGGTTTCCCTCCCCCCTGTTTCTATGGCAAGTTGAGTAACGACAGAAGTTAACAAGCATCTTAGCAATTCAACCTTGACACTTAATGTAGGACGATAGATTTGGGTTTGGGTGCTTAAACATCTAAGCCATGACAATGGCATTAAAATGTGAGTTCTTCCTTTCTCAAGTCTTCAAGCAGAGGCTGGACTACATACTCCTGATATTTTGGGAGGTTCTACATCAAGAAACAGATAGGACTGGTTGACCGTCAGCCCTTCAAGATGGACCAAGATCAAGAAAGAGAGACCGCGGGATGACTAGAACTAGATTTTATGCAGACCAGCTAACGGAATCTTACAGGATTCTTCCTGACTGCATTGTCCTCCCTTTCTCCATCTTCTACTCCAGGAAATCAGGAAAGATCCACCCTCGGTCCCAAGACATGTTTTGTAGAACTGCCTCTGAATTATTTCACCAAGGTCGTCTCCATACCGTGGCCTCTTCTGTCTTGCTTCTACTCTCCTGACCCATGAGACCCAAATGAGAGAGCCGCAAGTCAAATTTTGATTCCTGTACAAGTTCCTTGTTAGAATTCCCTCTCCAGCCATCTGTGGTGCAGTCTGCTACTCGGAGCAACTGCCAAGGAAGTCCACCCTTTGCCAAGAAGGATCAGGGGGCTGCCATTTATTATTTTCAAAGGTGACATTTGCTTTGTAGAACCCACTGCAGTTAACAGCTCCCAGCCTCAAGCCATGCTTGATGGCCATTCTCCTTGGGGGAGATAGAATATTTATCTGCAGCGGCTGTCAGAATCCCACCCTCATCCATCAAAGTTTGCCCTGCTCCATCAGTGCTGACTTCATAGGTTTTCTTAAGAAAAGCTTCCAATCCCTTATCTTAGAGAGGGCAGAGGGCCCTGGGTGACTTTTGACTTCAAAGCCCATTAATTCTTGTCTCCCTGCATTGCCTGGAGATATTTATAAAGCGTGGACATTAATGGATCAAATCCTCTCATTCAGCAAGATCTTTTTGATCAGGGCACAGGGCTGCGTTGGGTTATTTTGAAACTGGATGTCATGGTCCGTGAAAACGATTTTTGGGGGGAGACAGGAGGAAGAGACGTTAATGTGACCTTAGCATAAAGATCGAGCTAGTATCCTGGGTCTGGACCACCTCGACGGAATAACATCATTCTTTCATGTCTGAAGGGACATCTCTTCCCTCTCTTTCACAGTTGAAGAAACGAAGGAAGGAAGGTGATTTCTGTGATGGTCTACCCCAGTGGTGGCGAACCTATGGCACGCATGCCAGAGGTGGCACTCAGAGCCCTCTCTGTGGGCACGCATGCCATGCCCTGGAGATGGCACCCATCCCTCTTCAACCAGCTGCCTGCTAACTTGCCGAGGTCCCACATGGCCGGATGTATCCCAGCACCCATGCGCTCATTGGCCTCTGTGTGCAGGGGCCGATGGTGTCAGGCAGCAGCCACCCCAGTCCCTGCCTCACCTTGCCCTGTGACAATGGCACCCCCGCCTTGCCTTGCCTCGCCTCACCCCGCAGGACGAGCCTCCTGCCCACCGCCCCACTTGCCAGAGACCCCCTGGATCTCCCCCAACCCTGCCCGGCCCCCACTGGCAACCCTCCCCATGAGCAACATTGAGATGATCACGCCCACCTTGGCCACACCCACCCAATCTGCCATGACCACCACAGCCACGTCCACCCAGTGGGTTTTGGGTTGCAGTTTGGGCAACCCAAATAAGTGGGCTTTGGGTTCGCCATCACTGGTCTACCCCTTCCCTTTCCTTATCTGACTGTGGCCTATTCTGTGGCTCTTCCTCCTGTCTCCTAAATTCATTTGCACATAGCGTGACCTCAATTGGATAGTCCACAAGATTCTTTTTGTTCTGAGGGCTCAGCTGCCTCTTATCTGTTGTCTGATCCATGCTTCTTGCTTCTCTCTCCCGACGTCATCCCTACGTACCCTTGCACTGAGTCAAGAACACACCAAAACCCCTGACGGACAGCTTGATGTCCATTCACCATTTTAATGGAGGCCGGTGTCACTCAAGTTGCAAGCTTCTTTCTACCGCTGAGCCAAAAATTCCTCTCTCACCCACTTCTTCGGGGAAAACCCAGCAATTATTCTATAAAACAGAGCTAGACGTTGATAGATGTATTTTTAAAGTAATATAAACTGTGTAGGTGGCCGCCGGTTTTCTTTTTTTTCCCCTTCTTCCTTCCAAGGTAATTCCATTGCTTTTTATTATATCGTCTTTAATAGAATCAATTCTTTCTCATACAACAATAATTGGTAAGAACAGAAGGATGAAACAAAACAGCTGCTTTGTTCTGTTCGCACAATACGTGTAACCCGATGGGTAAAAACCTTGTGGTTACATCAGCACAACAAGCCAAGCTAGGATATTTGTGTGTGTGTGTGTGTGAGAGAGAGAGAGAACCCATTTGCTTCATTCAGGTCTGGATATAGTCTTGAGATTCCAGAAAAAGGAATAAGTCAATTCCCCAATTGCAGATTCCCCAGTCCCTAGGCAGAGATTGTTTTCCTGGATTTTTAGTGTTCAGCGGCAAAATAAAAGTTTATTATTCGATTCCAGCAATCAACCTAGTTACAAAATTGGGGGCTTTGGGAGTTGTGTAGACTGTTCATTGACCATTCCTATTCTCCCTTCTGGAACTTGCCCAAGGAAAACCATGCATTCGAAAATAACACAGTTGACAAAACTCCCCCCAGGCTGAGTAGTGACTCTAATTGAGTTCCTTTTCCTCTAGACAGTTAACTGTTGTTAGAGAAGTCCTAACAGGGACCCCAAATCCAGTTCTGGACCCATGAGACATAAAGATCTGCCTTAAAACGTCACCACCTTCCAGCAAAGAAAACTGCACAAGCAATCGGCGGCCCAC